CCATCTGACTGTGGCATACCGTTTGTATGCCCTGCTGTTTTATTTCCCACGGAGTTTTCATGTTTTGAGGAAAATGAGGCTTGCAAGGGGCATACTTAGAAATGTGGCTGGTTGAGAGTCCGCCTGCCGATGCAGGGGATATGGGTTCATGCCGCGGAGCGGCTGGGGCCGGGAGCCATGGCCACTGAGCCTGCGCATCTGGAGCCTGTGCTCTGCAACGGGAGAGGCCACAACAGTGAGAGGCCCATGTACCGCAAAAAAAGAGACACTTTTAAAGTGATTGAGCAAGAGCTTGCCACAGCAAATCTGGTTTGACTCATTAGCTGTGGGCCATGGGAAATCTGTTTACCCTCTCAAAGCTCAGTTTCCAATTCTATAAAATGGAGATAAGAGCATCTTAGAGTTACTGCAATGAATACATGGGATAATGAATATACCTGCCACCAAGTTAATGTCCAATACGCATCAGGCCTGATGATAGAGGGAGGCCAGCAGGAGAGGAAGAAAGCATATCTCAGGCTGTGTGAGCAGCAGATGCAGAGGCATAGAGGCTGGTGAGCGGGAAAAAAAAAAAAAAAAAAAAATGTGGCTGGAGTCTGGTGTGCAGACCTAGGGCCTGGAGGGTACCCGCTTGGAGTGTGTCCCTCCTGTCCTGGGAGCCCCGGCTGCTGCTCCCTAGGATGGCAGAGACCTGGCGTCAGCCCAAGTCTACTTGCCCCAGATGCCTGAGTGCTGCTGACACAGAGGTGCTTGTTCCTGGCCCTGGACCTCGGGAAGAGCCAGGGAAGGTGGGGGGCATGGGTGATGGACCCATCACAGCTGTGCCGCAGAAAGGCATAAAAGAGTATTCTGAGACACATCCTCAGAAGAATAAGCAGGGACCGCGAAAACACAGTTGGCCCCTAGCAAATCGAAAAGAAACCTTATCTGTCATCACTAGTTCATCCTTTATCTTGAAAATTCGAGAACTCAGAGGGTCTCTCCAGTGGGGCTGAGGCGGAAGGGGTGGGTTTCACCGTCCGGAGTTGATGCTGCGACCGGGAGCCAGCAGGGGGAGCAGGGCCACCTGGGACTCACGGGAGGCACTGGAGCCCTGAGCCAGAGCCGCACCAGCCTCCATAGCTGTCCTCCCGAGCACTGGGGAGCATCCGCAGGGAGGGCCAGAAGGCGCCGCTGTGCTCCTGAGACAGGGACACAAACATGCACCAGGTGGACCCCACCCAGGGTGTGACGCCCTGGCCTCCGGGCTAGGATGCCTGCCACGCCCTGATCACACTGCCCTGAAGACCCAAATTGGGGTGCACGGGGCGGGCTCCGGAGCCCCTGCCTCGAGGTGGTTTCGTTTGAACGTGTACATCTTCAGTCTCACATGTGAGCAGTGAAAGGGGACACCTTCTTCCCGGCCAGGGCTTGTCTCTGGTTCTGAGTTGGGGACCCCAGCAGATTGGGAGCCTTGGGGTGCCGCATCACACATGGTCCCCAGGCCAAGCCCCTGGTTTTGCCGTATGTACCTGGGCTGAGACGTCAAGATGTGTTTGTGTTTCTCCTGGCGGCTCTGCAACTGGTTAAGAAGAACAGAAGTCAGGGCTGCGTGATCAGACGTCTGGTGCACCCGGCTCGCTCACCAACCTTGTCCCGTTTCAAAGCAGCTCTGGACTTGCAGGAAGTTGTACCTGGAAGACGGGTTCTGCAGGCACAGGTGCCCTCCTGTCCCCGTCTTGAGGCCATGACAGCTCTGTACCCCAGCTGGCTCCCCCTGTGTTCCCCATCATTCCATCACTGCTGGCTGGTGGGGTACAGACCTCAGCCGTGGCCCCTTCTTCTGGGAGCAGCGTTTCTTCCTTATCAGGACTTTGGGGGAACTGATGACTGTCCCTGTTCACACATGTGTGGCATCAGCCTCCCAAACTTCATGGCAGAGCGGCAACCTGGGAGCTCTGGCCTCTTGTGACCCTGGGGCCTCATGGACGCCTCAGGCCTTTGGTGGGGTGGTGGTGGGGGTCTGTGGTCGGTGCATACTTGTCATGGCTGCCCCAGGGAGTTGGCCAACACCTGTGCCCTTTCCAAAGTCTGGCCCACCTGGAGCTCCTGACACTGCCCTGGGAGCCTTGTTCCCACCGTGGCTCTGGCTGACTCTTGCCTCCCCACACATGCCTGCTTGCAGACTGTGATCTGGTCACTGCATCAGCATCACCCGTGGACCTAGCTTCCCTTGGTGTGAGGCATGGCCCTCCCACGTCCTCACTGACGCCAGCCTGGCATTAATCCTCTGCTCCCCTCAAGCTGGGGTGGCTTTGGCTTCCGTGCCTGGAGGTTTTTGTGGACCTGTGGCATTTCTTCAAAGCAAAGGGTGAGAGTGGAGAGCTGGGACTGTGACCAGTTACAAAGGCTCTGGCAGGGCCAGCAGGCTGCTCATGCTCAGACAGTGGTCAGCTGGCAAGTACCACACAAAGCCCAGGGCAGCTTGAGAGCCAGGTGTGTCGGGGACGAGGGGGGGTCTCGGCGAAGGGTGGGGTGGAGACTGCCGCCGGGTGGGGGAGCGTGGGTGGGGTATCTTCTTGGACAGGGTGGAGCTAGGGAACACACTTCGCTAGTGGGGTCATGGGATGTCTGGGCCGGGGGCAGTGGCAGGTGTGTGTGTGACACCAGGTGGAGCTTCCTGGCTCCGTGCAGGCTCTTCTTCGTAAATTGAATTTAAGTTGATGCTTTCTTGGTCTTTTTTTGGGAAGCTTGCTGTCTCCCGGCATTGATGGAGTTAACGTTTTCTATTTTGTGCGCGATTTGTTTCTTTAAGGCCAGAAAGCCAAGGGTTGAAATAAATCATTCAAAGCCAGGGATGAAATGTTGCCTTTGGCTTGTCCGTCTCCCGTGGAATGTTCAGTGATGTCCCCGTAAAAAATCCAACAAAAAACAACCAAGCAGGGCTTCCCTGGTGGCGCAGTGCTTGAGAGTCCGCCTGCCGATGCAGGAGACGCGGGTTCGTGCCCCGTTTCGGGAAGATCCCACATGCCGCGGAGCGGCTGGGCCCGTGAGCCATGGCCACTGAGCCTGCGCGTCCGGAGCCTGTGCTCCGCAAATGGGAGAGGCCACAACAGTGAGAGGCCCACATAACGCAAGAAAAAAAAAAAAAAAAGAAATAAAAACAACCAAGCAGATGTCTTCATCTCTGTGTCAAAACCATTTTAGGGGCTGTCCAAATCAGGGCCTGGAGGGGAATGGGGTTCCGCTGGTGAAGCCCAGGCTCATTGGGATCCCCACCTGGTGCTGTCCTGGGGGCCCTTCTGGAGCTGTCATCCCCGCTCTGGCCGGCCACGCAGGCAGAACCACTTTGGCCGTTTGAGTATTTCAGGGCTCTCACTCGGTCTTATCCTCATCCTGTCAGTGCTACGGGGTCCAAGTTGGGACGTGAAGTTCTTTTTGTTGTTTCTCTAGAGAAATACGAGATGCAAGGGATTTAAAGTTTCTTTTAAATTTTTTAAAACTACTTTGGTCGCCTCTGGATACCATTGCTCTGTGAATCTTCCCTTCATGGCGAGTGGATATAACATGCTACTCTTTGAGCACACAGCTGAAGCTGGGAATCACACATTTTTAAGAAAATAACTTGGGGTGGGGGGCGAGAGTCAGGAGCTCTTGACCCCAAGCCGCGTACAGTCTTCTGATGCTGCTCAGACCCCAGGGGCTCAAATCCAACAATATCCCCATGCGCACCTGACTAAGGCCGGCTGGTGGTCAGTGCCAGAGGGGCCTCTTAAGTCCATGGTACTGACCAGGCCTCCCTGAACAATGGCTGACCCCAGAGCACGGCCAGCATTTTGCTTCCATGAGCCCTGAACCAGCTCAGTGTTTCCAGAGTGGCAGTGGTTGAAACAGACTTTCTCCCCAAGGTTCTCCTCATTGGCTGGACCCACCTTCAGGAGGACAGGTCCTTTCTTCCTGCGCAAAATCTTTCTTCTCTAATTGTGTTGGGCCTGGGAAAGTCTCAGTGGTTCTTTTGAACAGGTACATTTCAAAGAGTCAATGTGCCTTTCGGAAAAGGTTTGAGTTCTGACTCTGAGAGCACGTGGAGGTGGGTGGTGGGGCCCCCTGGCTCTTCAGGCAGGCCACCTCGTGGTCCTCTCTGCGGCACCAGGAGTTACGGCTCCTTGGGCAGAGCTGCATGGGCTGGGCCTGGCTGGAAAGGGCAGAACAAGCAGTGTCCACTGCTGTGGCAGCAGAAGTGACATGGAGAGTGTCGGCCCAACATGTACAGGAGCTGCAGGGGACACAAGAGTTACACAACGTGGGGTTCGTGTACTAAGTCACTGAGGGCAGCACTTACGATCAGCCTGGGGGCCACAGCAGGAGGGACCGGGTGGGGATGAGGCCCCTCGGCGAGCAGTAGTGCCTTCACCTCAGCTCGCTGGGCAGCACCGATGGGCACCGACGGCCAGCGGGGGCAAGGAGCCACCTCCTTCCCAGCCGTCTCCCCGTCTGTGCCCTGCAGCTGCAGGTGTGTCTGGCTTGCTGGGTAATGTTGGGGATAGGTCATTTGTAGCCGGGCACCCAGTGGTCTGGGCCCTCTACTGGGTGAGGGGGTGGGACAAGCAAGGGCCCCCTTCAGGTTAGGCAGGTGCCCCAAGATTCTTGATCTCCTGGCCAGACCCATCAAGGGACCCAATCTCTGCAGCATTAGGCGTGGGGCGGCGTGGCTGCCGGGTTCTCCAGGGTGCCTGGCCGGTGGGCTTGGGTCTCTCCAGCCAGCAGGCCCCTCCATGTCATACTTGCTGCCCCTGCTGTCTTCAGGCTCCCTCACGGCACCCCCGCCACCCCACCGGCCCCCTCACCAGTGTGGCTCCTGCAGATGTGCCCCATGATTCGGTCACGCTGATCAGTTAGTGACCATCATCTAGTGGTCAGTGTGGTTGGGGCCTCTGTGGGCTGTGCCCCACCCCCCAAGAAGGGCAGGGGCGTAGGGACTGCATGACCCCTTTAGCTCTTGGGGTCTTTGTCTCGTCCAGGTGGTGCTCTGGGTCGGCCTGGGCATCCTGGTGGTCAGCACACACACCACCCTGTCCGTGAGCCAGGAGGCCCCTGTGGACTTGGAAAAGGAAGCCCCAGGCAGCAGACTTGGAGAGGCTGAGGGTGCGATGAAGGCAGAGGCAGCCCAGCTCCCAGGTACGCGGCTCCCAGGTACGCGGCTCTCAGGTATGCACACAGGCCTGCAGCCTTCTTGGGGGCACCCCAGCAGCGTCATCTTGGGGTCACGGGGACCCAGGTGGCACTTTCCAGGCTGTCTCACCTGCCCAGTTGCCTCCGTCCTGTTTGGGTGATGGAGGGAGTGGGGGGCCTCCAGGGGGCTGGTGGGTGCAGCCACCTGCATGCAGGGGACAGACAGATGGCAGGCAGCAGGGCTGAGATCTGAACACCCCCATTCAGAGCGCTAACAGGTGAGTAAACTTGGGGGTGTCGCTCATGTTTGCCTGTTTTGTTTTGAGGGTGTAAATTTTAAGCCAGGTTTTCCTGGACAAAGTCAGTGATGCCCCTCAGCTTTGTTTCCTGTTTCACTTTATGTATTACTTGTTGACCTGCCCCTTGATAGAGGGATGAGCCACACTCCCTCATAAGCTGCAGGCCTGCCTTGGAAGGCCCCCCAGTGCAGTGGCCCCATCGCCCATATGTGGCAGGGCCCATGGGGTGCAGGGTAGTTTCTAAGCACGGATTTCTGGGGTACAGCAGGAGCTCCGTTGCGTCTGGGGGGATTGGGAGAGAAGAGGTGTCTTGGAGCCTCTGGCCTTCCCAGGCCTAGATGGGAGGGGTGCGGGGAGGGCTCCCTCCATCTGGCCTCTCGCCTTCTAGGAGCTCCGAGCGGCATCGGGTTCGGGTACTGGTCGGTGGTGCTGTCTATGATAACGCTCATTCCAGGGGCTTCTGCCCTGACAATGGCTGGGTTTTGTGTATTCATACTAATGGTGTGTGCGTGTCTGCTTACCTTCCCTGCGAAGAAATCCCTGGCTTGGATTGAGATTCCCCAGGCTGCCTGCCTGGCATTCCCCTCTGGGGGAGCAGTGCTGGTTGCTGGTGGATTCCAGGTCCCTTTGAGTGGTGATGGCTAAGAAGCCCAGGGGAGCCCTGGTCTCCTCAGCTACTGTGATTGACAACAGGAAAGGTCCGAAGGGCTGTCCAGGGAGGCAAGCGTGCTGGGTGCTTGCGGGGCTGGGCTACCCGCAGTTGGAGGTATGGGGCTCTTGGATGTGTTGCCGTCTCTGTTCCAGTCTTACCTCCCTGTGCTCAGAAAGCCCCTGCAGTGCCAGCACCCCACACCATCTTCCTGCAGAACAGTCTATTCTGGGGCTCTTTTGGGGGAGCTCTGAGCCCGGAGTAGCTGGGCATGCTCTCCTCTGCCTTCCTGGGATGGCGAGAGCCGGCTAGAAGACTCTCCCTTTGGGGGTGCCCTGCAGAGTGGACCCCTGGGAATAGCAGGGCTCAGCAGAGAAGTTAATCAGAGTGGTCAGAAGCTGCCTGGGGGACTTGCCTGGTGGTCCAGTGGTTAAGACTCCTCGCTCCCAATGCAGGGGACCCAGGTTCGATCCCTGGTCAGGGAACTAGATCCCGCATGCTGCAATTAAAAGACCCTACATGCCACAACTAAAGATCCCACATGCCACAACTAAAAGATCCCTCATGCCGCAACAAAGATCCCGCATGCCACAACTAAGACCTGGCGCAGCCAAATAAATAAATAAATATTCAAAAATAAAGAAGAGGGCTTCCCTGGTGGCACAGTGGTTAAGAATCCGCCTGCCAATGCATGGGACACGGGCTTGCGCCCTGGTCCGGGAAGATCCCACATGCTGCGGAGCAACTAAGCCCGTGCGCCACAACTACTGAGCCTGCGCTCTAGAGCCTGTGCTTTGGAACAAGAGAAACCACCGCAATGAGAAGCCCATGCACCGCAGCAAAGAGTAGCCCCTGCTTGCCACAACTAGAGAAAGCCCACACGCAGCAACGAAGACCCAGTGCCGCCAAAAATAAATAAATAAAATAAATTTATAAAAAATAAAAATAATAAGCTGCCTGGGCATCCCACAGCAAGTTGCATGGATTCAGTACTTTGGATGGGAAAAAAGGCTCCTTGAAGAGGGAGATAGGTGTTGCTCCTCCACCCCTGTTGACAGCCCCACTGGGTCCCTCACTCTCGGGTGTCCTGGCCCTGTGTGCTTTAAGGGCACCTCCAGCAGAACTAGACTCGGACACCAGTTTCACATCTCAGCTGGCTGTGGGCCCGCCCAGTAGGGCTTCTCGGCATCAGTTGACGTAGTCGGCACCGGGCTACCTGTCCCCACGGCGCTGTGCAGCCTCCAGCCCACGGCCTGCACGAGCAGCTGCATCCTGTCGTGGAGGCAGGCCCCCGGCTCACCTGGAGCTGCCGCGGCCACATCTGGTTTCCATTTCTTCCACGAGTCTGTAACAAACACATGGCCCCTCTTGGAACCACATGCCGTTTGTTTAACTCGGTCTCCGTGTTTCTTGCCCCCGGCCTCCCCGTCATTGATGGGTTGCCTCGTTGAAGTAGGGCTGGGCCCGTGGGGCCTTGGCCACGTGCCCTGCAGACGTCTGCCCATCAGCGTGTGAGGTGGGTTTACTGGCCTCTTAGATGTCGAAGAGGCCGGAATGGTATGAACTTTCCTTAGAGCCCGAGCTGGCCTTAGGACTGGGGTGTCCTGCTCTCCTGGGGACATGCGGGACTGGCCACCCCCAGCCTGTCACTCTTAGCAAGTGCAGAGCCCAGGACGCACCGGGTGTGGACAGAAGAGGTGGCCGAGCCCTTTAGGAAAGGCTACGAGGCTGCTCACCTGAGGCTCATGGCCTGCTCAAGGGTCTGACAGGTGGGTTCAGAGTTGGTGATACTCTCAGCTCCTACTTTGAATGTGGCCTTGTCCCCTTTCTTCCTCTCCCTCCCAGCCTGCAGCTTCTCTTGGTGGGGATGGCCACACCCATTATACAGCTCATCCCTTTCCCCATCAGGGACACGGCCCAGCTTCTGCTGGGTGGGGCAGAAGAGGAAGGGCCAGGACGGGGCCTGTGGGCAGCAATCCGTTCATGTGGGGACACAGGTGACCTGAGCGGGAGCTCGCCCCCCACAAGCTCCTACCTAATTGTTCTTCCGAGGATGCGTCCCTTGTGCTGCTGCGCCAGCTGCCGGTGCACGCAGACAGGAAAGCGTCCAAACTCCTGCGACAGATGCCAGCATGCCCACGGGGAGGCCCGGCTCCACGCCTGCCTTCTCTCCTTGGTCCCCCACAGCTCTCCCTGTGCCCTGCAGAGAAGGGGCTATTAACACCGCTCTGCCGAGTGACTTCAGTTTTTCTGCCCATTTGTCAGGACAAGGCTGTGAGCTTATTTCACCGGTGCTAAGATAACCATGCCAGCCGCAGCTGAACCCAGAAGGACTCCTTGGGGGCGGGAGGGGTGCTGCCTCCCATGTCCAGCCCCGAGTGACCAGCCCAAGCCCCCTCCACCTGCTGCCCATGGGCAGACGTGCCTGTCTGCAGGAGAGCTGTGACGGTGAGCCAGATGGGGCCACCGGGCCACCGGGCTAGGACTTTGGGTCCAGGGGCCCATTGGGATTCCTGCACATTCAAAAGGGTGTCATAGTCAGCGTTTCTCTTGCTGCCTGTCGAGAAGGGTGGGGGGTAACAAGTAAAACCTCAGGGCAGCAGCGAGGCGGGCACTTCGAAGCCTGTCAGGAAAGTTACTCAGGAGCAGCGTCTGGCCTTTTAAAGGAACATTGGTGGCTGTTCCTGCTCTCCGCATGGCCCTGGGGTCCCGTGCGTCTCCTGAACTTGGGGTTCCCCTCCAGTCAACAGGGACTCCATCTATGGGACTCAGGTGTGATTTTGAAAGTCACTTCATTTTTGTGCTTGGCAGTCAGAGAGGACTGCTTCCATCTTTACTGATCACAAGATACAGAAAGAGACACCCCTGGACTCAGAATGGGGTCCTGCAGGGGAGAGTCGACAAAGAGGAGCCCCCAGCCCAGACCCTGTCTTCCAAGGTGGAACCAGCCTTGAAGGCAGATTTTCGTTGCCGTGGACAGGCCTACTCAGGACGTCGCACCTGCAACCTGACACACATACCCAGATTTTAGAACTGCAGGTGTCTATGGCCTTTGGTCCTCTGTCTCCCTAAGCCAGTTACAGAATCACCTGGCGCCTGCACTGGACACGGGAAGGAGAGTCTGATGGGTGACCGTCCATGGGCCCGTCTGTCTTGGGAGCTCCTGGCCAGAAGCACCGTCAGGAGGGTCTGAGTGTGGGATGAGGCCGTGCATGTTGGGATGCTCCACCGCCCGGCAGAATGAGGCAGGCATGGCGTTATGTCTGTGTGGTTTCCACTTTGGGGAGCGGAGGCCGTGACCTTGAGAACGAGAGGAGGCCCTTCCAGGCCGAGGCGCCCTCTGCTGGCCACTCCCCACTGACCCACTGCCGCCTCCAGGAGGAGAAACGGTCCAGGGTCGGCCTGGCAGCCTTCGACCTTCCCTGGGGTGATGACCGATGACCGCACGGGCGATTTCCTGTCTGTGCCACCGCAGGCGCCTCATTCCAGAGCCTAGCCGCAGGGCAGACGGAGTGTGGGCTGTTTTTCAGTTACTAATTAGGAAGTCCTGTGTTAGTTTTACTGTGGCCCAGAGGCATTGCTGGCAAACTGTCCTCATGAGGAGCTCCGTTCCTTTTAGGAAACACTATGTCCATTGCCAAGGACAGCTGTGAAGTGTCGGAGGCCCGGCCGCTGCAGGCAGGGTGGCCGCGCTGTGCACCCTGTGCCCCTTGCACACCTGAGTCTCCAGGTCGTTCCTTTGTCTGATGACCAACGGATTTTGTTCCCTGCTGAGAACATGACTTGTTCCTATGACATAATGGAGTAGTTTTCTGTTTTGTTGTGTTCTTCCTTCCCTTCCCCGGCCCCCTTTCTTCACTTGGTGATCCGCTGGATAGACACCTCTTGATTTTGAGCACAGGGCTCTCTGCGGGCTGGGGATGGGGGTGTTAACTGTGGTGTGGCGAAGAGCCACATGCTTATTAGAATCAGCTGCTTGATTGAACTGTGGCGTCCCGAGTCTGGCTCCTGCCCAGCACGATCCCCCCTACAGTTTGGACACTAAACCTCAGCTGCTGAAGGTGCCCCTGGCCAGCATGGCAGGTCGGCCTGGTCCCTTCTCCTCCTCTGGGGGAGGGAGCAGGCCCACCTGAACAGGACTGTCATGAATCCCCCCAGAGGCCCTTTCGAGATTCCGCCTCCCCTTTTGCAGGCGGCTTGTGCCCTGAAGGGGGAAACCAGTTGCTTCAGGCCTCTGGGATGAAATGGTTCTTTTTTATTTATTTATTTATTTTATTTTATTTTTGGCTGCATTGGGTCTTCGTTGCTGTGTGCGGGCTTTCTTTAGCTGCCGTGAGCGGGGACCACTTCGTTGCGGTGCGTGGGCTTCTCGTTACAGCGGCTTCTCGTTGCGGAGCACAGGTTCTAGGTGCACAGACTTCAGTAATTGTGGCTCGTGGGTTCTAGAGTGCAGGCTCAGTAGTTGTGGCGCACGAGCTTAGTTGCTTCGCGGCATGTGGGATCTTCCCGGACCAGGGCTGAAACCCGTGTCCCCTGCATTGGCAGGCGGATTCTTAACCACGGCGCCACCAGGGAAGCCCCGAAATGATTCTTTTTACACGTGTTTTTTCCTCAGATAGTTTTTTAGTTTCTGCCACGTTTGCCTAACAGGTAGAAAGTGGTTTTGTTAATGGAGAGAGTTTCCTAATAGGCTCCAGTTTTGGCCCAGTTCGGCGGGCCATCCTCGTGCACCTCTCCCTGAGGACCCACGGTGACTGTGCAGGTGAGCTGTTGGACCTGCTGGAGGATGAGATGGCTTGTGGGATGCAGGCATGTGTGGGAGGCAAGAGGGTCCAGCTTTGTGGGCTACACCTCTTTCTCACCTTCCTTTTGATAGGAATTTTCACTTCTGCAGCAAGAAGTTGACAATTGCAAATCAGCCTCCCTCAGGCATTTTCCTTAAGCATCCCTCGTCCTCCCCTTCCCCCTTGGCCTACAGCAAGGGGTTGGTTGCGCTTGGGCAGGATGGCTGTCCCCAGGCCTCAAACGGTGGGTTCATTCTGCCACCTGGTGGTGATGGCCAGGCTTATGCAGGATGTCGCTCTTCTGCACCCAGTTAGGTGTAAATTGCATTTTGACGTATTTTTGTTATGAACACACATGAAAAATGACAGGTTTCTATACTACTTAGCCGCTAATGATTGAACAGGAAAAAATATAATTGCTTAGGCTCTGCCATTCGACTGGGAAATGTGATTACAATCCAGGGAAAACTGCCCAGTTGCCGTGCTGATTGGCGGTGTGGCCATGTGGAAACACCGCTCAATTATCTGTGCCGTGCTTACAGGCCAGAATCCAATTGTGGACGTGGCCGAGGACAGCCGAGATAAGCCGAAGCTACCAAATGAGAAAGATGAGATGGAGCAGGCCCAGATTAAGGGCCCCGTGAATGTGCCCCCAAGGGAAGACGCCAAGGAGAAGCAGGAGGAGGCACAGCTGGATCGCCCTGGTCAAGGTGCTGTGACGGCCCGGGCGGGGGTTGGGGGGTGGTGTCCACGGGGGAGGGACCTCAGCTGGACATCAGCCACGTGGTTGGTCGGGAACGAGCTCAGTTCACAGGCCTGGAGAGGGAAGGCCACCCTGGGAGGGAAGGCCAGGCCACCCCCCCACCCCACCCCCACCCA